ATCAAATTTTTTCCGTTGATGCAGACTGCAGTTTTGCATATTAGCATCTAGTGAGGCAGCAGTGCTAAAAGCCTCTTGAGTTAAGTGACTGAATTAATTCGTGCCTGCGCTTGCTTTCAGGCTTGCACATTGTGTCAGTTTCTACTGAGAGACTGTGCATGTCTCCAGTAGTTATGGACTCAGGATCGCTCTGCTCGACTTAATGGAGAGGTGTGCTTCAGAGGCAGGGGGCCTTTAGTTCTCACCGCCTCAGAGCTTTACTGCTGACATGTGATGGTGGAGCGTTTGACTGCTTTGTTTAAGCTGATTTTGTTAATATTAGAGTAACATGTAGTTATGCAAAAAGCATTTCCACAACCAAAATGAACACTTCCTGTTCTGATGGTTATGGGTTGGATTGTGCTTTGAAGAGTGAATTATGTCAGCAAAGACCAGATGTGTTCAGCTTGCTCACTCCCCCATTACATACATGGTATTTTAAAACACTCTAATTTCCTTTTTTTCTCTCTGGTACTTTATTGCTGTGCTCTGTTTTAGTCTTTGCTTTAAGGCGGGAATCTTTTTGTAACAATCGCTCTGTTGTTTACACTGGCTGGGTTTGTCATTCAACATTCATTGCTGTAGTTGTTTGTATTAGATCACTGCTTTGCGGTGTTAATAGCCTCCTAAAGCAGATTATGAATGTGGAGGCAATAATCTTATCTATTTATGTTACGTAGGTGTAATACTCTGGTTCTTGTTTTTGTTTAGGTGTATTTTTCATGGTGAAAGTGAAACTATGTCAGCAGATATAATGAAGAGAGGATCAGCTGGTTGCAGCTTTTTCTGTTGTTGTTCTTTATATTATTTTTAGTTTAAAAACAGCAGATCATGACTGAATCACAGCACAAAGTAAAACAGTTTGCCAAATGGTTTAATATGGTGCAGAGTAAATAAAGGTTTATTTGATATTTTAGCTCAGCTTTCCATATAATTTTAGTTGCATCATTTTGTATTTTGTAGTTGCTGCACTTTTTAAATAATTTATTTGTCCATGCCTCAGTCAGTTATCTAATAACTTTTGTACTACACTTAATGCTTTATTTTTTTCTGGATGCATAGAAACATTTTGCTGAGGTTTTGTTTTGTTAGATGTATTTACAAGCATTTAAAAAATAACTAAATGGTGAATCCTGTTCAAGAGCAGTTTTTGTATGTGTTCCCTGTCAGCATGTTATGTGTAAATCCCTTATGATGATTTAAAGTGGACGTAGGACATTATTTTGTCTTGACACTGCAGTGACACAGTGGCAACCTGCCAATCAAACAGCTGCAGAGACCTTCTCTCCCTCTGAGCTGCTGCTGACTTTTAATATTGTCGCCCTGGTTTATTTTATATTGACAGTTTATTTAATAGTGGCGGGCTGTTTTTATTTTCTGTCAATCTTTTAATTTACCTGTTCAATAGTCTCAAAATTGTTGCACCACTACATTTAATTTTTGTAAATGAAAATTGTTGGAGCCATGTTGATCTTAGAAGTAGTGGCAGGGAGGTATAACTTTATAATAACAGGAAGTAGGGCTGAAACAATTAATCTGATTACTCATGATTAATTATCGATTATTAAAATAATCAACTATTTTAGTGATTGATTAATCATTACCTGGAGTGCAGAGACTCTACAATGTGGCTTTAGCTGACAGAGCAACACACCTTGAGCAGAAATTGTAAAAAAAAAAAAAAAGAATGTGTAAACATTTTACATTTAATATAAAAATCTTTTTCATTTGTTCTATCCAGCACTCCTCAAATGGAAAAACTTTATCTTCACTTGGTTGAATTTCACAAAAAGTCTTCTTTAACGAAGCCCCCAGCTTTCCAATTATTATTGATTAATCAAAAAAACAATAGAGTAGTCCATTTGCAAAATATTCGTTAGTTGCAGCCCTACATGGCACTTCTATCAATCATTGGTTCCCCAATAATGTCTTCTCAGCCAGCCAAACAGTTAGGTATCTGCTACTGACAGATTTAATTAAATTAATAAGCAGAACTATGCAAACCACGTAAGAGTCAGACCTGGTTCTAACCCATGACCTTCATTATCAGGTTAAGACTGGACAACAGTAATTGAATCAAACATGTGACATTTATCTTTCATGTCCGAACATAAAATAGCTCCAAAATGCAATTCTCATTATTGTATGTAAAAACGATCAAGTCTTTTCTTGTACATTATCCATTAAAGATGCAACTGTCCAGCTCTATGTGATTCAGATACATGCCGATGCTAGAGCAAGACCACTGCAGGTTTTTTTTAGACCAATAATAGGACCGGGCAAAATGGTTTTAAGTGGTTTTATTTTCTACCAAATCCGGATCCTTTTTTCTTTATTCAAACTTGATACTTTATATTATCAAACTTATTTTCATTTAAAACAAAGTTAAAATTATGTATGTTACTTTCAAGACTAGCCTTAATAACGATCATCCTCGCTGGGAGGTGACCTTAGTTTAAAGGGCAACGACGGTCAATTTATAAAAACAATCATGTTTTACTGCAAACGATGAAAATAAAAGATAATAAATTATTGCAGCTAGTTTTATCAGACAGTGTGCTAGTTTATCAGGTATGAGGAGACTTCTACGAAGAAAAAGTGATGAACTGATGTAAATCTGAACTATGGAAGAAATCTTCATAAACAAAAACATCTGATTAATTGCTCAGCTCTAGCCAATAAAATTATTTTGCCATCAGTCTAACCAAAGTCTTAATTTAAACAAAAAGTATTGAACAAATCAAAGAAAACATTAATAATGGATAGAAAGCAGAGGGAGTGGAATACCTCATTTGATCTTAAGGTATGGCTGCTTTAATGCACTAATGGATCATAATGGCTGATGCAAGGGGAAAAAAAGCACAAATATAGGCTGACTGATGTATCGTTCTGTCTAACCGGTAACTGGGCAGATAATATAACACATTTCGGTACCATTCATTGAATGATCTGAGTATCCTACCATGGGAACGATCACATGCTGCTGTGTGTGATGATTAAACTAGCATTGCAAACATGCTGTAGCTGTGTGGCTGTGATTGATATTAATAAAGAAAAGGAAATTACATAATCATAACTCTGGATCGGCATCATTCATTCAAAATCCAAACCAGTCGATATTAGCTCCAATATCAGATCCAAGCATTGGATTGGAGCGTTTCTAGTATCCACTGGGTTACATTGGGCTTCTTGGTAAGAGAAAAACTCTTTGCAAAAAACAAGTTAACAATGAACAGCAGGACTAGCTCAGGTTACAATTTACTTGAGCCCTATTTGTCACCATGTCTGCGTTTACAGCAGGTAGCTGCAAACACATGTATGTGATTTACTGTTATTGGTAGCCAAAGACGGAAAGCTGTATGTTAAAAACCAGATCCAAGGCCAGCTCTGACCTGACTTACTGCATGCCAAGAGAGCAGCGGTTTCCCACTAGGATGTCTTCTTTTCCAAGATATAAAAGCAGGATTGGTAGAGAAGCAGAATTCAAACCCTGAGGGTGTGATCCTCATAGAAACTTTCTCTGCTCTTTTATGATAATTTCTGCAGCTATATTTGGGGCGGAGGGGTGAACAGCTGTGAACTGTGCTGTCTGTTCTGGTTCTGGACGAGCTCATCACCTTGAACCAAGATGTTCTACTTTCAAGCAGTGAATGCATAGAATCTAGTTTGATGTAAAACTTTCTCACTTTTCTAAAACAAGATGTTGATATAATCTAACTCTAATTTTCTAAATAGTACAAATATATTATCTCTGAAGTTGGAAGTCTGCTTTTATGTATTTTCATAATACAAGAAATGTATTGAACACTGAAAAATAGGATTTTTTTTTTTCAAATTACTGATCTAATATTGAATTGCCTAACTTTTCTATCAGATCTTTACTCATGTTTTCTTTTCACATGTTGAACCGGGTGAAATGTGTGTAATTATGTTGTACTATGTTATTTGTATAACATGATTTATTTACAAGATTTCTTTTTAGTATTTTAGTTAGGGATGGGTGATATGTCCTAAAAATAAAATCTCAGATTTTTTTTTTTTTTTTTTTAAGATTTTTTTCCTATTATTAATGAAAGCAATAAGTACAAACGAGGCACCATGTCTTTAGTTATGTGCAAAGCGACCCTGCTTCTTTCCTTTCATATCTGGTGCTTTGTGCAAAAGATTCGATTACAGTTATCTGTTTGTTAGCTGAGGTTTGTTGGTTAGTCCAGGTTTATTCGCCCCGGGCAGACTGGCATTTTGCAGTACCACACCGCGCTATTGGCAGCTGTGCTTCTGTTAACAGCTAGCTTGTTAGCTATGTGGACTAGGAACCTTTTCAGGCTGTTATAAATTATGCCTTTCAATACACAACCACATCTAAATAAACTCGCCTTGTGTGACGCTGTCGCTAGCTAACTGCAACCTGAGAGTGATAATGTGGCTACAGAAACTCCGGGGATCCAGAAATGCAACATCTTAAAAGAAAAAAAAAGATACAATTTTTTAACAATTGCCCGCAATGAAGTTTGAATTAATTCACTGAATCGTTTTTTTTGCGCTGGCCTAGTTTTAGTAATAAAAACCTCCACACTAAGGTCCAGAAATATCTTCAGAAATCTGCTGTCCTTTCAGGGAAAATAACATCTGATTAATGCTGTGAAGAGCACACATACTGTGATGATAGTTGCTCTCCACTGAGCTTGATGGATTTTAATGGGTTTTTCTTGTAGAATCTGATAATTATTTCGTTTTTTAGGTTTAAAATTGCCCAAAGGATTTTTCTTCTCAGTCCTATTTCTCCGATCAGCTTGTATGTGTTATATCCCTGACATTTCTTTTTCTTATGGAGCACTGAAGGTTGAGGTTTTCTAAATGCAATGTTAAAAGCAAACATCAAAAAGGGCATTTGACTTAATTTTTGAATAATTAAAGTTCCTGCTATAAAACCCCTGTGTGATTTGCCTTTCCTCCTCCAGGTGAAGAGGACTTACTCCCGGGGAACATACCGTGCCGGCGCCATGCGGCAGGTCAGTCTGGTGGGAGCCGTGGATGAAGAGGTCGGAAATTACTTCCCAGAGTTCCTCAGCATGCTTGAGGAATCTCCTTTCCTCATGGTTAGTGCTTTCTCTCTCTTAGCTGGAGGATATTCAGACTGCGACGTGTCAACATGTGTTTGACCTCCCCCTGCGCATGTTCCTGTGTTACGCAACCTAAAGTTTCCCATCCTGTGTTTGTGCAGCGAACTCTGCCGTGGGGAACCTTCTCCAGCCTGCGGCTTCAGAGCCCGACAGAGAGCGACGACGGCCCCATCATGTGGGTCCGACCCGGAGAACAGATGATCCCGATGGCAGACATGCCCAAATCCCCCTTCAAAAGGAAAAGGTCTTCTGAATTTCCATACCCTCACCTGTTACTCATCATCTTTAGTGACTGTCTTGAACTCTTCTGAACATAAAAAAGGCAGTTTTGTAAAACACAGAAATGTTGAGCTGTTTTTCCAACATCTATTTAAATGCTACTTTATGCGGATCTGTGTGATTATATTAACCACAGCATCAAAGTAAAGCCAAAACATTCAAGTTTCCACTAAGTCAGAGTAAAGTACAGCATCATTTTACAAATGGGAAAACTTGGATTATATTGTCAGATTTTGCTAATTGCTAAAAAAAATTTGTTGATCTTAAATAATTATTATATAATCTACAGTTTTTAAAGTCTTTTTTTATTTTTTATTCCTTTGTTTTAATAAAAATGCCCTGCTTGACATTACCTTTTCTGATATGTAGTCTAGGAGGGAGCTCTCACAGGCCTTGAGTAAACCATGAACCGTGTGTTATTCAGGTCCACCAACGAGATAAAGAACCTGCAGTATCTGCCCAGAACCAGCGAGCCCAGAGAGCTGCTGTTCGAGGACAGAACGAGAGCTCACGCTGATCACATCGGCCAGGGCTTCGAGCGGCAAACCACAGCTGCTGTGGGGGTGCTGAAGGCTGTCCGCTGTGGAGAAGAGTAAGTGCACGGAAATCTTTTATACTCTATAGATGGTTCATCAGTTCATTTTTTGTTTTTTTTTTTTTTTTTTTTGGTCTCAGGTGGGCCAGTTATTTACTCCAATTTGGTTTCAGCTCATTAAACTCAACCTGTTGTGTTGATTTACAGCAGCGACACTCCTTCCCGTATCACCAAGGACGTTGTGTGTTTCCACGCTGGAGACTTTCCAGATGTGGTGATGAGGCTGCAGCTGGACCTCCATGAGCCCCCGCTGTCTCAGGTGGGATTGTTATTTATTTATTCTTTCCAGCAGCATATAAACCATGTAGCTGCATGTTTCTTCTTTCTTTACTGCTTCATTTGTGGTTTTCATGTTGACAACAGTTTTGGTTAATGTGTTTACTGCCAAGGATCCTTCTGCCATTGAGTCGGTGCTGTTTAGTGTTTTTTAGTGTGAATAAATAGACAAATCTAGCAACCGTAAAGTCAAGCTGTAAAAGGGATAATGAAAGAAGTTAGGTTAATCTACCATAGCCATGAGGTACAAATATGTGATGATCCTGGACCAAAAGTGTTTCTGATTAGATATTCTGATGCATCAGAGCAGGCAGATACGGGTGATTTTGGGATCAAAAAATGTCTGAAAAGTACAAAGTCTAATTTGGAATTTAATTATCTAGGAAAAGATAATAAAAAGAATGCAAATTAGTTTTATTATTATTATGATTATTTATTTTCCCTACCCAATCCTCTGAACGTGTCGTTCTTGCTTCTGAAACTCCTTCCTTCCTAGAGTCTTTTTGTTTTTTCTGAATTTCTCTTGCCCTGCTTCGTTTTCCATCTTCCAACTTCCCTTTGAACGCTGTAACTTTCTTCATCTATCCTTTTTCTCTAACCTTGTGCCCTTCTTTGGAACCCTCCTTCTGTACGTTCTTCCCTCCTTTTTTCAGTCATTATTTTTCTGGATAGAACATATTTACAGAAGAAAACATTTATTTTTGATCTTATATGAAAAATTTTTATATATTTTTTTACGATTTTTATATAATTACTGCTCTTATTAGGTCACTCAATCAGGTAAAGGCATATTTTACACTCTCTATACTCCAGTTAATTATTAATTGATTAGTAAATTAGTTGACAATTATTTAATTAATCGATTAATCCAATTAATTGTTCCAGCACCAATCTGAACTTTTTTGCTTATTTCATTTCATCATTCTTCTTTCTTATTTCTTTTATTACCTTCTTTATTTGTTCTTGTTTTTTCTTCTTATTCATTTTCCTTCAAACCTTCATTCCCTGTTTCCTTTCTTTCTTGTTTCCCTCCTGTTTCATTTTTTGTGTGCTCTCGCTTAAAGTCCATCGGTCTTAAATTCATTTAAAAATTCAACATTTATATCTAAAAGTTGGTGCAAAAGATTATAAAAGAATTGAGGAATGCTGGGTCTGTAAAGATCTGGATTCTACATTAAAATTATTTAAAAACCCTGTTTACTGATTTAATCATCACTGATGACAGGAAGGTTTTGGCAAAATGAAATTGAACGTCACCATGGTTACACAGTTCTACCACAGTTGTGTTTATAAGGTTATAAGACCCTCCTGACTTTCTTAAATCGTTAGTACTGTATCACTCTATTTATAATATCTCCTAGTCACCACAAAAGTCATCTTAAGGTACCTTACAAAGCCCATTCGTTTAAATCACACAGACTGGCTAAATAGTTTTCTATTCAAGCAAATTCTGCAGATTCATCCACCTGCATCCTCCTGAATGAGCCTCTAGCAGCAGTAGACAGTTGCCTGGACTGCAGCAATCCCTTAAAAGAGGAATGTATGTTGCAACAGTAGAGAGGAAAACTCCACTTTAACATTAGGAAATCCCTAGTAGGAGGAAGAGGGACGCTTAAAATAAAGAAAAAAAGCAAATCTACCCTCTAAGGCTTGGCTTGTGAATGTTGTAACAGGTGGAGAGTAAAACCAAAGTCCATTATCTCCTTTCATTTTTTTTTTTTTCGTCACACTTGATCCCTGCTGGGGTCGGGAGGGGTGCAGGTCCGGCTATCAATGGGCGAGAGGCGGGGTACATCTTGGACAGGGCGCCAGTCAATTACAGGGCAATACAGAGACACACAGGACAAAGAGCCATTCACAGGCACACACTCACACCTAAGGAGAATCTAGAGAAGCCAATTAACCTAACAGTCATGTTTTTGGACTGCGGGAGGAAGCCGGAGTACCCGGAGAGAACCCATGCATGCACAGGGAGAACATGCAAACTCCATGCAGAAAGACCGCGGGCTGGGAATCGAATCTGAACCTTTTGGTGCAAGGCAGCCGTGCTACCCACTGCATCACTGAGCAGCCACTATTAACTTCTTGTGTATTTTAAATAAATATGAAAGTTGAGAATGGTCTCCTTTCCTTTCTATTGGTAAATTTCAGAAGTGTGATGTCATGATGATTCTAACTTATATCTGCCATATTGAGTACTGAACGCTTAGCTTAGCTCTGTGGTTCTTCACCTCTGACTAGAAAGGATCATTCTCATTAAAATCCCATGAGCTTAAATTATACACAGAGAAAACGCATTGCGTCCAGTAAACAGCAGCCTAAGCTAGCATTCTTGTTTTGAAAAATCATTTGATAGTAAATGTACACCGCACAGACGGCTACCTGCAATCGGCGTCCAGTCAGCCCATCTGATCGCTGACAGCCATCTTTCACAATGTTAAATCAGTTAAAACAGTTATTTGGCTAACCTTATTTAATTGTCACACCCGATGGGACAACCTAAGGACAGGATCTTTGAGGCGCAGGGACCAGAGCAGGTACTCAATATGGCCGAAGCTAGATACGTCTGTGGCGTCAGCTACAAGGCATCTATAAAACAATTAGATGTGAAGTAGGTTTGCCAAAACAATAAAAATCCAAACTCAGTATGGATACTCAGGAAAATATTCAATACCTCAGGTATAAAAAATGCTGAATAGTTAAAGGCATAAAAAACAATTTCCAACCTCAACATGAAACATGCTTTCTCAATAGAATCACAGTTTCAATTAGTTTAATATTTGTGCAAAAAAGGCTATAAAAAAAAAACCTAATATAATCAAATTTGACAAGTTTGTTTAAGGTAAGATTCTTTTAATGTGAAAAATAATCTAGAGTGCTTGTCTGAGTGCTTTCTCCATTTGTCGTCCACAGTGTGTCCAGTGGATTGACGATGCGAAGCTGAACCAGCTGAGGAGGGAGGGAATCCGATACGCTCGCATCCAGCTGTACCACGATGACATCTACTTCATCCCGAGAGGAGTCGTCCACCAGTTCAAGACTGTCTCCGCCGTCTGTAGCCTGGCCTGGCATATCCGACTGAAACAGTACCACCAGCAGGAGGAGAAAAAGGAGGAGGAGAGAGAGGATCTGGACGAGGGGGAGACATGTTCCTTCAGCGAAGCACTGAACAGAATCAAACAGGAGGAAGATGTGGAGGAAGAGGGAAACAAGTGTGACTTTGCTGTGCAGACGGTGACAAAGATGGAAGAAGAGGACATGGAGGGACAACAGGAGCCAACGTCGCACACACTGACGCATAATTTCAAGGAAGAAGAGCAAGATGAACTAGACGAAAGAAAGGAGCTGGTGGGAACACAGTCACCGACTTCAGTTCAGAATGAGAGCGAAGAGGCTGTTTTTAGTCCCACAGCAATAGAAATTAAAGCCGAAGTTATACATGAGGAAAGAAAGCGTGGTTCAGAGACACATCAAAGACTGGATGGTCAAGAGGAAGCTGGACAGGATGCTACTTCCCTAAAATTCTTACAGCAGATTAGGAAGGACAGCGATGTGGAGGAAGAGCAGCATCAAAAGAAAGATCAGACAGACAAGACTAAAGACGACACCACAAGTATTTGCAACACACCGCAAATTAAAAAGGAAAAGGATAAAGGTAAACGAGAGAGAGATGAAAGGGAGAGGACTAAAGAAAAGAAGGAGAAGGACAGGGAGAAAAAAGACAGAGGAAAGGAAAGAGAGAAGGTTAAGACTGAAGGGGGAAGAGAGGGGGGGCCCCTGATGCTGCCGCAGATAAAGAAAAAGGAGGAGGAGGAATGGATAAAAGATGGAAGTAAAAGCTCACAGAATGCCCTGTCGGCTCAGAGAGACGAGAAGTGGGCCAAGGAGTGTGACTCGAAAACACAAGCCCACCTCAAGAGAGAGAAGGAGCACGATAAGGACAGGGGAACGTCTCAGTACCGGCCTGACAGAGACGAGGCGCGAGACTCCTGCTCACATAAACCTAAGTCCACTCATGGGAAGAAGGAGAAGAGCAGCCACAAGGAGGGCAAGGACATGGGAGTGTCAAACACACCGGGGAAACTGGGGAGGGAGGAGGGAAAGACACACAAACACACAAACCAGCAGGGGAAGAAAGAAGGCAAGAAGGAGAAAGACGGCGGCAAGGAGGAGATCAGGAAGAAGCCTGAACAGAAACCAGCACGGACACTCTTCACCTTTGATCTCTTTAAACCCATGGAGGCTCACCAAACGCTGGCTCTTTCTTTATCGGACAGTAGACCCAAACCTCAACACCACACTGACCCTCGAGGTTCTTCATCCAAGTCTGGCTCAGACTCTCGGACTGTTGTTTCAACTAAAGGACCAAAAGTAAAGGATTCATTGCAGGGAAAACCTTCGATGGCGTCAACGCTGCAGGACTCCATAAAACAGCCTCTGAGGACACAAACGCCGCAAACACAAAAAGACTTCTTGATATGAATGTCTCCATGTCTTCTGACTGTACTACTTATGCCAAGGCTTTGTTAAAATATTTAAAAGTTCATCCTTCCTTTAGATCAATTAGACCCGGCCACACACTACTACTGTGACGCAGTGAGACAAGGATGCAGCCTGCCTGTATTTTAACAATGCCGAAGAATGTAAGCTAAGTTGCTCACTTTGTTTGTCAGCAGATGTACGAAGGCTTTAACACGAACTGTTATGGTGAACCGCGTGTCGTTGCCTGTGCACTACTTTGGTTCACGCTAAAAAGCGCCTACACTGCTCAAAGAAATTAAAGGAACACTTAAACCTGTATGCAATCCGTCAGGCAAACAGACAGGTTGTTTATCGGTGTCAGATCAATTGAAGTTAATGGGGCAGCAATGAGAGGACCTCTTTTTTTTTTACTTTTTAGTAGTTTTACCATTGAACAGGGTCCGCGTCACGACTTGTACTATGAGGTGATAGGAGCAGAGGTCACCTGTCATGGTCAGGAGATCAGCTGTGTCCTGCTACACTGTCTCTGGAGATTACAGCAGACAGGCAGTGGCTCTAGCAGGGCTATCAGGAATCCACTCTTTCTGGCATGGAGGAACAGAAGGGGTACTGGCAGAATAAAGCGCCCTCCTGCATGATGCTGGTGTGAATGTTTCAGCCAAATGAGGGCGGCCTCAACCTTTCGATGGTGGTGGGTCTGTTGTTCCTCTTTGTGCATGATTACGTCCGACCTGCAGCAGCCTGTAGGATCAAGCAGTTGAATCCATCGACGGGCCTCCATGCTCCTAGAGGATCTCAAAGAAATCATGTTTAGGTTCATCTAACGCCACCAGGTAGTGGGGTGATGCTGGTCAGGATCTTGCAGGAGACATCTCAGTACCCTATCTATAAAGAAACATGGCTCTATTCCCAGACCATACAAGCCAAGAGTCATCTTGACTCACTGCAATAACATTTCACCAGATGAGACTGTCCCGACACTCCCTTTCTTTATTCAGATTATTTTTTTATTTTCATTAAATCATGCGACACCTTTTCGTTCCTGACATATTTACCCGTTCCATATCAGTATGGATATCCCTCATGGTTGCTTTCTCTTTACTTGAGGTTAAATGTTAATTTTCAGTGTCCCTTCAATGATTTTGAGCAGTGCATTCTAGGTACTCAAGCCAATCTGAAAACGATCATTTTGACAGTGCCTTGCAAAAGTATTGATACCCCTGCAACTTTATCATGTTTGATCGTGTTACAATAACAGACTGCATAGTGCTTTATTGGAATTTTATATGCAAGACAAACACAAAGTAGTTGGGATTTGGGAAGTGGTCAGAAAACATTACATGGATTAACATTTTTTTAAGAAACATCAAAGTGTGGCATCTGTATTCCACTTGGTCTGATACCGTGAGTAAAATTGCAATAAACTGCCTTTAGAAGTCATCTTCTGTAAACATTAAGTCAAGTTAATCTATACTGTATTTTTAAAACTACAAGATCAGTCATATTTCCTGGAGCGCTTTGGTGCACATCAGTGTTGGTGGCTCGCCTTTGATCAGATTTAGGTCCATACGATGTTTGAACCACTGTAGGACTTGAAAAGGCTTTGACCTATTTCACTACTTAACTCTGACCAGTTGCCAAGTCTCTTCTTGGGAAAAGCAGCCTTCCCACAACATGATGCAGCCACCACTGTGTTACATTAGAGGAGCTGTGTTTCTCTGGAGCTCCTTAACCACCTAAACTGACAATATGCTTTATAACCGAACCAAATTGCTGTGTACAGTGGTATTTATCATGAAGCTGTATTTATACTGGGATTATTTACTTTCCAAGTCAGTTTTGTCCTTTGTGTCTGTCAATCAGCTATCATCCCAATAAAATAGCCTGAAACGAGTGGCTGCAGCACGGCACATGTGGAAAAGTTACGTGAATACTTTTGCTAGGCGCTGTACAACATTCAGGACATGGCAGCAAGTCCTCTGCTGATGGGAAATCATTTTACTGTTGCTTTGCTCAGCGGGCTTTATCGTTTATAACACTCCAAAATCAGATTCTAGCAGTTGTTTTCAGACTGTACTGTTTGACACACACAGGGCTGTAAATTATTCTGTAAGTACCAAAACTGTACAGTCTAGATGTTATTAGCAACAGTGTGAGAAAATGTATACAGAAATTGCATATATTTTTTGTAAGACAGGTTTTATTTTCCATAGAACTTATTTATATCATTTACTGTCTGTTTTTATTTGAAACCAATGTATGTGAAAATTTTATTGTAAATACATTTTATTTCCTAAGATAATACTTGGTAGTGTGATTTATACTCTGATCAGAACCTCTCAATAAATGGTTCTAAATGTTGACTAAGTTACTCATTGTCCTGGTTTTTGTTAGGATTTTAATTAATATGTGATGGTTTAAAATGGTTTACAGAAGGCATGGCAGGTTTATTTGTATAGCACAATTCAAAGTGCTTTACATGAATTAAAAGATCAAATAGAAGAAACAAAATGTCACAAGTAGTAGGATGACTGTTCTAGATAGGCAATGCTATATTGGTTGAGACAGGTGAAATCCTTCAAAACATTTGCTTCAGAAAAAACAAAAAAAAGCCAAAGAGATTTTATGACAAAGCCAGATGTTCATCTCCCCGGTGAGACTACAGAGGATCTAGAGGTGTTCTTAAAACAGGAGAATTAAGTCCTTCCATCAAGTTTTATTTCTGCCTCCTTCCTATTGGTCGACCTTGAACAGCCTCCAAATGGAAGGAATGGCGTTCGGTAGGCACACTGATCAGAACCACTGCCGTGGTGTAATGGAAGAGAACGTCCAGCTGCAGGAGTCCTCATCAGTTAGGAAAATTCTGGGAAAGCAGAGAACTTCAGTATATTTACATCTGGATAAATATGGGAGGAAAACTTTAGAGTGAAAAAAGTATTTCTAAACTTTCTTCTTTATCCTAATTTTATTTGTATCCATTTGTTTCTTTCCATTAAATCATCAGAAAAAGCATCTGTCAATCATCCAAGAATTTGTAATCTATTGATCCACCCGTCTAAAATCATTCACCAATCTATCTTTCCATCCATTCATCCTGTTTGTTTTACACAAAGACAGTTATATTTTAAATTGTTAAACATTAATATAAATGCCTTAAAATTAGCAAACATAGAAAAGCAATATAATTTTTTTTATTTATGCCATAGTTAATATGCTGCACTGCACCTTATATTAATACAAAATATCTAAAATGAATTATAACTTTAAACAAATAATGCTTTTCATTATCAAATTAACAGTTTATGGATAACATTATTTATTCTTACTCCATCTAGACTAAATTCTTGTTAGAACTAATGATTCTGAAGGCTCTTCATTGATGACTCAGTGTTATTCATTAACACTACTGGTGTCAAAGGTTGATTTAAACCAGTGGAATTTACCACTCGACTTGGATGTTTTTTCATCTTATATTATTGATTATTTAATAACTGTTATATAGAGCTGAATTGATGCAGTTTATGAGGATGGAAAAAATCACAACTGAAGTATTATTTTTTCAGGCAACATCTGGGAAACTAATAGTACAAGTTAAATGTGCTCTCTGTTTCCATCAAAGAATAGAAAGAAGGTAAGGTAAGTAACAATCTATTACTATGTTGGCACGAGATGTAAAGAAAAGAAGCGAGCTAGAAGGTGCTCAGGTCAGTTGAAGCCAAAATTTACATTTTTTGGGCTTACTTGTTAAATGCAGTATGGTGGAAAGCTGATCCTAGACTCTACCCAAAACACACCACCTTCATTGTGACACATGGTGGTGCCAGCATCATGCTGTAGGGAGGCTTTGTTCAGTAGGAACAAGTGAAAATGGTCAGAGTTTTGGGGATTATATAAAGTGTTAATGAAAAGGCTGGAGGAGAATCTGTTAGAGGCTGTGAAGAAATTCAACATGGACATCAGAACAGCACGACATATTGAGCCAGTTTTCTATGGAATGGGTAAAGCTTGCCCATGTGTTAGAACTGTTAAGTCAAATGCCAGATCTAAATCCAGTTAAAAATATGAATATATGCATTTCTTTTTTTTAAGTAAAAAAAAGGAAATATTTCAGCTTATAGATATACAGATTCGGAAGAGATGCCACAACAGACTTATTACACAATGAAAATGGACTCATGTATTGACTGGATGGGTCGAGATAAATGCAACCTCTGCAATTTTCAGAGTTTTATTTGAAAAAAAAAAAAATCTTGAAAATCATATATATTGTGCAC